AAGTATTTCAATGAGTGACCTATAAAGGGTTAAGTAACATCATGACACGTATTATGATCAAATGTACTTGTGTGGGGACAGTAAGCTGTGCAATTTTGAAAGTCAAAACGTCAAAAAGAGTAAAGATAAACAAAATATGTGGAAGACATCAGGAGAGAAGAAAGAATGAAGAGTGAGAAAGTGTCTGGTATCACATGTGGTGGATGTTGTGACGGAGCCAGAGAATAAATGAAACTGACACATAATACTTCTCATTCAGTCTCTGTCAAAACCTCTCCCACGCACAGAGAATCTCCAGAACACAGAGGACTGTGAAACCATTGTCTCTGGAGATGACTCCACAATGGCTCAGCATTCCAAAGAAAGGAAATATGAGAATAGGGCTTATTAAGTTTTAGTGGTGGCCAAATGAAATGACATTTTTTTAAGTCTGCTGGAGCATACATATCTGCTCTGTAAGTCACCTGTCCTGCATTCTCCTTTAAGAAAAAAATAAATAAATAAATAGAAACCAAAGACTTGGACTTTAACACCAGTGACTAGTAACTTCACTTGGACTTGAGCGTTTTGACTTGAAAACACTTTCAAGATACCTTCCCCCAGATGCAAAGAATAAAAGTTTCTATTTCAAAAGTGTGGCATGAATCAATTCATTTCCTAAATCAACTAAAGTTATCACTATTCATTCCCAGTAAGTCAACACTTAATTCCCCAGATCTGCTTTGTTTGAACCAATCCCACAGCATCCAGTCAAGTTGCAGGAGGGAACCTCAAACCCCAAAGATCATTTTATTTTGAAGAAGGCATTATGACTTGTTTAGGGCCCAAAACTCCTGGGACTTGCCTGTCTTGACTTACTTGTGACTGGCATAACAATGACTTGGTCCCACCTTAGACAACAACTCACATTAGCTTTCCTGCTAAAGTCACCTTCTTATCTAACTTGCGCACATGAACATTTCCTGCACTTTAGTTTGCTGAATGACCAAACACACATTTATCGAGGGAAAGCGCACTGCTAACGTCAGTATATAGCCGACCGATATATGCCTTCTCTCCAGTATAATGGAAATGGATCAGCTTGAGGTGCTCCTAGCGCCAAAAAAATCCCTCTCTCTACGTATCACTGCGCATAAGAGCCTCCTCATAGAGCCTGTTTACACCTGGTATTAACATGCGTCTCGGGTGATCTCCTCACAAGTGAACAGTTCTAAGCGTGCGTCTACTCATGGAAACGTTATGCCGTCGTCCTTGGCTAATATGCAACGTTAGCTAGCTCACATAGCGCCACTGAGATAGCTAAAATTCAGCTACAGCTGGCAGGTGTAGTTCAGTAGAGAAAAAAATTTTCCTACATCAAACTGCTCACAACAGGGTCTGTGGATTATCTAGAGTAGAGTAATCTGATCATTGAAATTGAATTGAAATTGAAT